CCACTATTATTGTGTCACTGTCAATACCCTCTTTTAGAGCTGTTAGCAATTGCCTTATGTATTGAGGTGCTCCTATGTTGGGTGCATATATATTTATAATTGTTATATCTTCTTCTTGGATTGATCCCTTGATCATTATGTAGTGTCCTTCCTTGTCTCTTGTAACATTCTTTATTTTAAAGTCTATTTTATCTGATATGAGTATTGCTACTCCAGCTTTCTTTTGATTTCCATTTGCATGGAATATCTTTTTCCATCCCCTCACTTTCAGTCTGTATGTGTCCCTAGGTCTGAAGTGGGTCTCTTGTAGACAGCATATATATGGGTCTTGTTTTTGTATCCATTCAGCAAGCCTGTGTCTTTTGGTTGGAGCATTTAATCCATTCATGTTTAAGGTAATTATTGATATGTATTTTCCTATGACCATTTTCTTAAGTGTTTTGGGTTTGTTTTTGTAGGTCCTTTTCTTCTCTTGTGTTTCCCACTTAGAGGAGTTCCTTTAACATTTGTTGTAGAGCTGGTTTGGTGGTGCTGAATTCTCTTAGCTTTTGCTTGTCTGTAAAGCTTTTGATTTCTCCATCGAATCTGAATGAGATCCTTTCCGGGTAGAGTAATCTTGGTTGTAGGTTCTTCCCTTTCATCACTTTAAGTATATCATGCCACTCCCTTCTGGCTTGTAGAGTTTCTGCTGAGAAATCAGCTGTTAACTTTGTGGGAATTCCCTTGTATGTTATTTGTCATTTTTCCCTTGCTGCTTTCAATAATTGTTCTTTTTCTTTAATTTTTGCCAATTTGATTATTATGTGTCTCGGCGTGTTTCTCCTTGGGTTTATCCTGTATGGGACTCTCTGTGCTTCCTGGACTTGGGTGGCTATTTCCTTTTCCACATTAGGGAAGTTTCGACTATAATCTCTTCAAATATTTTCTCTGGTCCTTTCGCTCTCTCTTCTCCTTCTGGGACTCCTATAATGCGAATGTGGTTGCATTTAATGTTGTCCCAGAGGTCTCTTAGGCTGTCTTCATTTCTTTTCATTCTTTTTTCTTTATTCTGTTCTGCAGCAGTGAATTCCACCATTCTGTCTTCCAGGTCACTTATCCGTTCTTCTGCCTCAGTTATTCTGCTATTGATTCCTTCTAGTGTAGTTTTCATTTCAGTTATTGTATTATTCATCTCTGTTTGTTTGTTCTTTAAATCTTCTAGGTCTTTGTTAAACATTTCTTGCATGTTCTCGATCTTTGCCTCCATTCTTTTTCCAAGGTCCTGGGTCATCTTCACTATCATTATTCTGAATTCTTTTTCTGGAAGGTTGCCTATCTCCACTTCATTTAGTTGTTTTTCTGGGGTTTTATCTTGTTCCTTCATCTGGTACATAGCCCTCTGCCTTTTCATCTTGTCTATCTTTCTGTGAATGTGGTTTTTGTTCCACAGGCTGCAGGATTGTAGTTCTTCTTGATTCTGCTGTCTGCCCTCTGATGGATGAGGCTATCTAAGAGGCTTGTGCAAGTTTCCTGATGGGAGGGACTGGTGGTGGGTAGAGCTGACTGTTTCTCTCTGGAATGTATCTTTTATACAGTCTTTTTTCCAAAACGAAGAGCCAATTTTCCCAAAACCATTTATTAAAGTACCCATATTTTCCCACTGATTTTAAAGAGATTTATGTATATATAGGTTTTTAGTATGCTTTGAATTCGCTGGTAAATGTACGTGTGTGTACACAGAAGTGCATGCATGATGTGCACGCACACAGGCATGCACACGCATGTATGCGCGCACGCGCGCACACACACACGTTTCTAAGCCCTATGTTCCATTCCACTGATATATATTTCTGTGCCATTACAAGACTATTTTAATTCCTTTGGTTTTTAAGTTTTGATGACTGAAAAAGCAATCAACTCTTTAACATTCTTTTATATCTTCTAAAAAATATTTCAAGAGGAAAAGTAAAAACAATATATCAGGTTCCCCAAATCCACTCCCTTCCAGGATTTTGAATGGAATATAATTTTATGAAATCATGTTGGGTAAAAGCATCTCTTAAAATACTAAATCTTCATTCTGCTTCCAGTAATAGCAGGGTGGCTTATATTAGATTAACCCTCCCACAGATAACAATTATAAACTCTGGACAAAATGCAAAATGCATATTTAAAATATATTGGTAGGCACTGGAAACTGAAAAAAAAAAGTAATGGGAAACTGGAGAAGGGTTGAAATTTGAAAAAAGAGAACAACTCTTGAAGGGACCTTAAGTTTATATGGCTAGTCACCTGGAAGTACTCCCTAGTACACTTGGTGCAGGACGCCTAGAACTTACACAGAAAGCCACAGTCTTATTGGCTTCAAAAGGAGCCCAGAGTTCAAATCTGCCAGATTACCTATAAGGTAATGGGGGAATTTTCAGATAGGAGAGAACCACATAGGAGGGAAACACCAAAATCAGTGTTAGAACTCCACTCAAATTCTTGGCTGATTCATGATCTATGTGAGCACTGGGGAAACTCCAAAGAAAAGCAGAGACAAGACAGAAGAAGTAATGGAACCAAGATTTCAGATGCTGCCCACTACCAAAGAGTTAAGAGTATGGGCTCTAAGTCTAGTCAAGTCAAATGCTTCCCAGAGCAAGAATCAGCACTATTCTGAGAAAGAAAACAGAACCTAGAGTCTCTACAATGTATCACTATCTAGTGTACAATCAAAAAATTATTGACTTGATAACAGAAAAACATGACATATAGTCAGGAGAAAAAGCAGGCAATAGAAACTGACCCCAAGACAGCCCAGATGTTGAGATAATGTCTAATCTGAAGAAAACAATTTTTTTAAATGAACAGCAGCTCAGTGACCTAGTAAACAAAATCAGGTGACTAACATGTAATTGGGGTCTCAGAAGGAGAAAAGTGAGAATGGAGCAGAAAAAAATACTTGAAGAAATAATAGCTACACATTTCTCAAAGCCATACTTAAGCACATCAGTCAATGTGCTAAGAATAAAAAATACAAGTCTTCAAAGCAGCCAGAAGAAATGACAAATTACAGACAAGGGAAAAATAATTAAAATAATAGCTGACTTATGATCAGAAACAACAGAGGTTATAATACAATGGATTGACAGTTTTAAAGGGGCAAAAGAAGAAAAGAAAAAGAAAACCTTGTAACTCGAGAATACTATACTGAGCAAAAACAGCCTTCAAAAATAAAGATGTGGGCTTCCCTGGTGGCGCAGTGGTTGAGTGTCCACCTGCCGATGCAGGGGACACGGGTTCATGCCCCGGTCCAGGAAGATCCCACATGCTGTGGAGCAGCTAGGCCCGTGAGCCATGGTTGCTGAGCCTGTGCTCTGCAATGGGAGAGGCCACAACAGTGAGAGGTTTGCGTACCGCAAAAAAATAAATAAATAAAAAATAAAGATGGGGCTTCCCTGGTGGCGCAGTGGTTGAGAGTCCGCCTGCCGATGCAGGGGACATGGGTTTGTGCCCTGGTCTGGGAAGATCCCACATGCCGCGGAGCGGCTGGGCCCGTGAGCCATGGCTGCTGAGCCTGCGAGTCCGGAGCCTGTGCTCCTCAACGGGAGAGGCCACAACAGTGAGAGGCCTGCGTATCGCCAAAAATAAATAAATAAATAATAAAGGTGTTTTCAGGTAAATGAAACATTGAGAATTGATGAAAGTAGACACACACTGTAAGAAATCTTAAAAGAAATGCTTCAGTCTGAAATTAGACAGGAATGAATGAACACCAAAAATGGTAAATATATGGGTTAATAGTGAAGACCATGACATAAAATTGTTTAAAGCAAAAGGTGGGTACCACTCTGTGGAGTGTGTAATATACATACGTGTACTATTGTAAGAATAGTATAAAAGACAACAGGTGGTAAATGAAACTATACTTTTGCAAAGTTCTTATACTTGTGCAATGGTACAATATTAACTCTAAGTTGACTATGATAAGTTAAGAAGGCTATTATAATCACTAGAGCAAACACTTAAAAAAATTAAAGAGGGCTATAGCTAAGAAAACAATGGAAGGATTCCACTGGAATACATATTTTTTTTTATTTAAAGCAAAAGAAGGCAGAAAAATAAGGGGGGGGACAAATAAGGCAAAGGAAAAAAGCAAAATGGTACTCACAAGTGCAAACATATTAACTGTCACACTGAGTAAAGAAGCAAGATCAAATTAAGCATGTTTACAAAAAATGCAAATTAAATACAAAACAAAGATAGGTTTAAAGTAAAAGAATATATGCCATGCAAATAGTAATGATAAAAAAGCATGAGTAGCTTTATCAATATCAGACAAAACAGATTTCAAGACAAGGAATATTATAAGGAGTTACATAGGAACATTTTATAATGATGAAAGATTAATTCATTAGGAAGATAAAACAATTAAAATATATATAAGCCCAATAATAGAGGTTCTAAATATACAAAGCAAATACTGACAGAACTAAAAGGAGAAATGGATGACTCCAGAATCAAAGCTGAAGATTTTTAACTCTGTGAGTAAAGGACAGGACAACTAGATAAAAATCAGTAAGGATATAGAAGATGTGAATGACACTATGGTCCACTTTAATTGAACATCTGAATCACTGCAGAACTTCATTGGAGCAGTGATGTTCTAGAGTCTGAACCAAACACATACCTGTACATACCTGTCATTTTAAATTTATAAATTGTTTTTAGGAGAGAGAAACTAAGATTATCTAATCAGAAATTATGTAAGTACTTTTCTTTACAGCTATTTTTCTTTTAAAACTGCATTTAAACTTAAATTGTGTTGTCCTATGGCATTGAATACACCTCAGTAAGCCAAAAATCAAGTGCACTTTTACCAACACGAAATTTTAAAAAACATAGTCATACTGACTGAGAACTTTGAAGTATAAAATGGTACATAGTACAAGAATCACTTAGAAACCACAAGAACGTGGTCAAAAAGGTACAAACCCTGTTAAAATATTTTTTATAAATCTTAATTTTTAACTTACTTATATATTTGGTAACTTGTTCTAATTTTGAGTCCACCTTTGATGAAGTTGATCATATTTTCATCCTGAAAACAATTAAATAATTAGATCATTTAGCAAAAGATTCTTAAACTGTCCCCATAGCTGTGTAGCTGCAAGATTAGAACAAAACACTATCTTTTGAGGATATGATTTTTAAATTAAACCATTCTTCTTGCTTTACATCTGAAATGCTTTTTTGTCATTTTTCTTCCAAGTTAGAGGACAACAAAAAGGAAACATTTCTTAAATCCTTGCATTACTTTAAGGAAGTAAGGAAGTAATCCTCATCAATTTGGGGCCATAAAGGTTAGTCCAAACGTACTTCAATAAACATCATCAACTACTGAGCAACTTTCTTCTGGGTTCAATGGAATTCAAAATGGCTGACTTTAAGGATATGCTCCAAGGACTTTCCTGTCTGTCTTACTCCAAGTAATGGGATTATGGTTCTTCTTTAGAGGGGACTTTAGCAGGCAGTCTATTTAACATTGTGAATTTCATTCATATACATTTCCAGACCACAGATAACTGATCTGGATTCTAAAGTTGCTGTCACTTATATGAAATACTGTTTAGGGGAAAAGAGATCACTTCTCTTGGCCTGATGGTCATCAGCCATAAAACTGGGTCAGCTGGCCTAAATGAATGACCTTTTTAGGGTGAGCATTCTAGGATTCCAAGAGTCTCCTATTAAAGCATATCACATAACTGCCTGAGGGCTTCCGTGGTGGGGCAGTGGTTGAGAGTCCACCTGCCGATGCAGGGGTCACGGGTTCGTGCCCCGGTCCGGGAGGATCCCACATGCTGCAGAGCGGCTGGGCCCGTGAGCCATGGCCACTGAGCCTGTGAGTCCGGAGCCTATGCTCCATAACGGGAGAGGCCACAGCAGTGAGAGGCCCACGTACCGCAAAAAAAAATAATAATAAAAATTAAAAAATAATAACTGCTTGGAAGATGTTACTCTAATAGAAGGTGCTAATGGAGATAGTCCCATGCTTTTCTAGTCCGTTAATATCAGAAAGCTGCTCTGGTATTGATTTCCTGTGCACTTGAGCATCCTTCCGAAACAAAAGAAGAACTAATTTGAGTTTGTTAATGTCATCAGTTACTTAAATACTTAATCTTTAAATTATTAAAAGAATCAATAAATGTAAAATTCACTATGCAATTTAAATGTTTATGTTCTGATTTTAAGGAATCTTATGGTTACACAAATTCCAATACTGGCCAGGAAAGAATTTCTTCAATTGGACTCAAATCTAACTCAAATAAGAATATTTCATTTCAGGATTCACCAAACATTTGCTGAATGCCTATTTTACAGCAGGCACCCAAACACAAAATCAGACAAAAGCAACACAACTCGCTAAGGGATGAAGACATGCATGGATGGAGACATGTGGGGGATGTCATGACAGCACAAAGGTGGGCGGGGATGTGAAGAGGTCCACAAAAGCCTCCTGGAAGCATCAATGCTTAAAGCACACACATACACACACACACAAAAAAGATTGGGAAGTAACCAGCTGAAGGAAGGAAGGCAAGGTAGGTATGAACTTTGCAAGCAAAAAAAAAAAAAAAAAAAACGCTCAGGGAAGCATTCAAGACCCTGGTGTGCTTGGCTTGGCCATCTGTGCATATATAACTCAGCACTGCTGCAGAAACCTGCTGCAAAAAAGGGAATGACTAAGGAATAAGAAAGCTACCTGTGCTGTACCTGTGCCACTCAAGTATGCAACATACCTGCCAGTAGCAGTTGAGGACATTGGTAAGAGGGGAGTAGGGAACTGGCGGGGAGATACCAGTTTGGTTAGAAAAAGCCTTCCCCGTGTGTGATATTCAGATACAGAACCACTGCCATAGTCAATGAGGGCTACTAAATGCTGAAGCAGAGACATGCCCAGGTGAAATTCTCATCTTTGAGAGGGTGCACATTTGCACAATGGAGAGTGAGCTGGAGGGAAGAGAAACTACAGACCGAAGGTCCCTGGGTTGCCATGCAGTCTAGGGAAGAGCTGACAAGCCCCCCACTAGAACAATTATAGTCAGAATAAAGAGGAAGAGACGGAGCTGATAAACCTTGAAAAGGTAAAAGCAGCACGACCACGAGCCTGGCTGGACACAGAGGCATGAGGAAGAGGGGAGCCGTGGATAGCTCCCAGATGCTGAACTACAAGCCCCCCAGACATAAAAAACAAAAACCTTTCAAATCAATGATTTTATTATCAAATTATCATTTGAAAAACACATCAGAAAAAACTGGGGGCCTCCGTGACTAGCCTTATGTTTACTGAGGCAGTAAGACTGTTGTTTTCAACCAGCCGTCATAATAGGTGGGGTTTTAGGAAACAGGGCCCTACACCAGACTGACTTAATTTTACTTAACCAGAATCCAACCTAAGAGGTCACCCTCCAGAAAAAGAGAAAAGCAACTCTCAGTTCAATGTAAATCATTGAGATTGAGGAAGATTTTCCATCTTCCAGTTGAATTTCTGCCCCCTTACAATCTCCACCCCACTTCTACCCCACTTGTATCCATCCCCGCCACCTGTGTGGCCACCACGTTAAAATCCATATTTGTTAGAAGACCTGGAAGCTACAATGACAGGCAAGGTACTGACGGTAACAGTTCCTGGAGGTGAAATTTGAATGCCCCATGAGAAAAGGAGTCATGGTTTTGTTTAGTGACTTTTTTTAACTGCCCTTCCAAAATAAGAAATAAAAGGGGAATGAAAATACAAAGAGCGGGGAAATAAAATCTGAGGTATACACGGGAAGGTTGGCTCTCGACGCATGCATAACTAAGCTTTGCTGAAGCATCTGATGCAAGAAGGCAACAGCCAAGGATGCTGAAGCCTCCTCCAGCCGGTCACTCCCGTGTGCAGCCCTCCACCATTAGCAAGCACGAAGAGGGATACCCCTCACAGTTCTCATACGGAGCAGCAGCCTGAAATCAGGTGAGGTAGTTGCAAGGCAGCTTCTTCAAAAGGCAGTGGTTGCCAATAAAGCGAAGTTCAAAACAGAATTTTAAGTGCATTTGAGTAGGAAAAAAAAAAAACCCAGGGTCTTCTTTCAGCCAAAGTTTATCAGTAATAACAAATATCTTCCACTACGACTCTAAGTCAGAAGAACTGAAGCACTGACATAGAACGAGCCACATTTCTTCTATGTCGTACTTGGCAGGCTTCCTGGGCGACGCTGATTCTAAGCCAAATGTTCATTACCTGCACAAACGTGAGGGCTGCTTTCTGTAGGAGGCACTCGGCATAACAGATTTCGGCATGCATTTCCTCTATTAAAGACAAATAAAAATATATTAAGGAAAATCCCATATCCACAGTAATTGCTCTGAGATGTTCGGAAAAGACGGGTAGATAAATGAGCCCAAGGGAGACAATAAAAACCTAGGTTGCTTTGGTGCTTCCATAAAAGTGGAATGCTGACCTCAGTTCTCAGGCCCTCAGCAAGAATTTTCCAGAATGCATGAAATGCTTCGGGGAAGTTATCTTTGGCTCCATTCACATATAACTGCCAAGAGTCAGGCCCCTGGTGTCAAAGACCCAAACTCAGCTCACCAAAATGTAAAAACCAAAATGTAAAAGCAATTCTTGGAAAAAAGGAAACAACTTATCTTTTAACTTAACGGGAACAGGCAAGTTTAACACAGTTATAGATTGGAAATCTAACTTAAATACACTAATTCTACCTTCTAAAACATGAAGGCATGATAGTCATGACAATGGTTAGGCATGCTATTAACTTGAAGAGAAAGCAGTAATTCCCTAGGGTTCTAGGAAAAAGAACTGGCCTGCATGCCCAACTCATGACTCCTCATTCAGGGAAGACTTGATGTAAAAAAGTTCACACTAGCACAGTTTGGGGCTATTGGGATCACTGAGATATCTAGTGCAGGAACAAGGCACTCACAAAAGGGCTACATAAAACTACGTATGTATCCCTGGGACACGGGGAGTGCCCCAAAACACGTGGCCTATCCATGATACCTGCAGAGATTGGGGAGGGAGAAATCTTTGCATTTTCTTTTTTTTTTTTTTTGCATAAACAAAATCAGCAGATTCCCATTTTATCCATGGGATGCAAACTGGTGTGTTATTTAAGTAAATGAGCTTTGGGGTATTTCACGGCCTAGGTGGCAGGGAAGGCCCTGCCACGTACTAGTTGTAGAACCTCGAGCAAGCTACCCTCCCTCTCTCTGCTGGTTTCCTTGTTCCTAAAGTCCAGCTAATGACATCTCTACTTCAGAGCAGAAGAATTCAACCAGGTGCTGCCTGTGAAGCTCACTGGGCAGAGTAAGCCCTCAATATGCAACAGCTACTTTCACTAAGATTACTGCCCTTGGTCCATGTCGTGCTTTTTGCCAAAAGTTCAGAAAGTAGAACATCTTTATGTGATGTAAGTAACTGAAAAACGGGGTATCTCTGTGTTAATGGGAACATTGTTGAATCTAACTGGATAAGAACTAGCGCTTTATTGCTTTCACTTACACACACAGGACCCCTCCCGACCACACACACACACACACACACACACACACACACACACACTGTCTCACACACACACTCACACACACACACACACACTACTAGTTCTCACAAACAGGTTCACTTTCCTGCCACGCTCATATTCCAAAGGCTGATTTACAAAGAAGCAACAATGCAACTAAGATCTTCCAACAGCACGCATAAGATGGGGCCAGACGCACAACAGGCCAAAGTCGAGGAGCTGTGGCCCCCCGCGCAGTCTGGCAGCATCAGCAGCCACAGTCTCCGTCCTTCGGAACACCTCACCTCCAAGTGTGCCCCTGAATTTTCTCCGTGTGTTCAGTGGGAGAAAAACTGGTAACTTTTATTTTTACAGACTCACTTGAATATCCTCCTTCCAGGGAAACTTGTAACAAAGTGGGAATTGTTAGTAATTATTCACTTTGAAAGCCTGCTCAGTAACCAGATGGCTGGCTTGGGGCATGTGCCAAGAAGGCAGGGAAGCGGCTGCTGGGAGAGAAGCAACATGAGCAAAGGCAAGGAGCACGGAGCCCTGCGTGGCAAGTCCAGCGATGCACCTTTGGCTGAAGCACGAGGTGTGTGCAGGGACGAGTGGGCAATGGGCCTGGAAACGTAAGTCGGGGCTGAATTATGGACGACCTTGAATATCAGAGTCTGGGCTTCATTTGGTAGACAATGGTGAGTCCTTGCAGACATCTGAGCAGAAGGGCAGATGGATCAGAGTTAAGCTAAAGATGGACAAGGCAAAGAGCAGCACAAACGACGTAACAAGAAGCCAGAGATAAAAGGGAAGAAAGTTTGAACTCTGTATTCTGCACGTAAGGAATCTTCATATGAAATTCCTTGCACATCCTAAGCACTGTATATAAACGTCGGTTTTTAAAGGCAATTTGAAAGCCATTTAGGGCAATATGCCAGCCATGAGGAAGGAAGAATGGGTGTGTCCCATGTTAAACCCACAAAAAGTTTAATTAAATATCCTCGCTCCTGCAGAAAACCAGCCATTCAAGGATGGAAATGGAAATTACCAAGAGGAAAAACAAAGTGCACCCTAAATCCACAATGTTTTGACATGCTCCCTTGAACACAAAGTCTGTTTGGGTTGCAGCAACAGCCAAACTCATTAGGAATAAATGCAATTTAATTTATAAAAGTCTTATTTCTTCACTCTGATTGATTTATATTGGGCAGCCCTTAGCTCTCAAAATTAGACATTTGGCATTTACAAATAGGTACCTACCAGAACATCTTTTAATTACAAATGCCTCAGTTCACGGAAGGAAATATCTTCATTATGCACTGAACTGTCAGCTAAGCATGCCTTCAGACATAAAAGTCTAAATAAACCTTATTTCAGAATAGGTTCAAGTCACAGCCTGATTTATTTTCATAATTTTTAAATTAAGACCTTATTTTTTAAGAGTAGTTTTAGGTTCACAGAAAAATTGAGGGGAAGGTACAGAGATTTCCCATATATCCCTTTCCCCCCAAAACACGCATAACCTCTCCCATTATCAACATGCCCTCCAAAGTGGTACATTTGTTACAAGTGACAAACCTCCACTGACACATCATAATTACCCAAAGTCCGCAGTTTACATTAGCCTGAACTCTTGGTGTTGCACATTCTATGGGTTTGGACAAATGTATAATGACATGTATCTATCATTATGGTGTCAGTATTTTTCACTGCCCTAAAAATTCTGTGTTCCACCTATTCATCCCCGGGCAACCATTGACCTTTTTACTGTCTCCATAGTTTTGCCTTTTCCAGAATCTTATATGCTTGGAATCATACAGTAGGTTGCCTTTTCAGATTGGTGTCTTTCACTTAGGAATATGCATTTAAGGCTCCTACATGTCTTTTCATGGCTTGATAGCTCATTTCTTTTTAGCACTGCATAATATTCCACTGTCTGGATGTACCATACTTTATTATTTATCCATTCACCTATTGAAGGACAAGTTCTGAATAAAGCTGCCATAAACATTCATTTGCAGATTTTGGGGTTAACACAAGTTTTCAGCTCCTAGTTTTGTAAGAAACTACCATACTATCTTCCAAAGCGGCTGTACCATTTGCATTCCCACCAGCCATGAATGAGAGTTCCTGTTCCTCCACATCCTCACCAACATTTGGTGTCGTCAGTGTTCCAGATTTTGGACACTCTCATAGGTGTGTAGTGGTATCTCATTGCTGTTTATTTTTCAATATTTCTAAATATGCCACGCCCAAAGACACAATAAAAAGATAAGAACAGTACCATCTATTTTCAAGATGTCTGACACAGAAATAATTCAACATTTCCTTCATCCATATGTGACACATTTCGTGCCCTTTTCTACCCAACTACAGGAGAAGGTGTGGGGTTATGTGGCTTAGGGAAAGGCAGATCGGGTTTGAACTCTGCTCTGCTAAGCAGGTAATCTTGGACCATTTGTCTAATCTCTCTGAACATCACTTTCTAGTCTATAAAAAGGAGGTTACACAGGTTAGATTGGACAATGCTAAGGAAAGCATCAACGACAGTGTCTCACACATAGAGAGTGCCTTTAAAAAATAGGGCATTGGGCTTCTCTGGTGGCGCAGTGGTTGAGAGTCCGCCTGCCGATGCAGGGGACACGGGTTCGTGCCCCAGTCCGGGAAGATCCCACATGCCACAGAGCGGCTGGGCCATGGCTGCTGAGCCTGCACGTCCGGAGCCTGTGCTCCACAACGGGAGAGGCCACAACAGTGAGAGGCCCGTGTACCGCAAAAAAAAAAAAAAAAAAAAAAATAGGGCATTATTATGTTTTAAGTTATTATTATTATTCATATTTATACCAATAATACCATGCCATTCTTTTGTAAACTAAGGTTAAAAAAGAATCTCAAATGCCAGGCTTTATATTGCAAAGAAAAAGGGAGGCAGGGGGAAATGGGCCACTGGAGAGAAGCCATATAGAGGAAAACAGAAGAATATAAATGAGTCAAATTTCTTTGGGGCCCATTTAATTTCCCACTGACCTACTTTAGTGGACTTTAGGTCTCCTGGGGCCAATTTACATAAATGGCCCTAAGATGAAAAATATGAAAACATAGTCTATCTGAAATCAAGGGGATAAATAAACTCTTAAGGGTCCTTGGAGGTCAGTTTCTGGAGAAAAAGATGATTGGCTTCAGCTGCCTGGAGGAACCAGTGAAATCTACTCTGCTGTATGACAGCTGCAGGGCCAGCATCATACCTTTTGGAACAAGTCTTGTAATCCTCTGTTATCAACACTCTAGTTAGCCCAAGTTCTCCAATGTCCATAACAAGTTGATAATACTCTTCTAACAAAGCAAACAAAACTTCATAATGAAACACACTCAAAAATGTGTCTGGCACACCCTTGACCACTAGGAATGACAGACAGATGTATCCAGAATTGCTCCTGCCTTAATCGGCTACAGCTACTGTAACGATTTTGTGTTACCTCTTCCAGAGAACAAATTTGACAATGACAACACAGGCACAAATGCTCCTTGGACGGCAGAAGCTTTACTCTACGATGGCCTCATTTGAAAGATGTTATTTTCTCTTCTACAGGTGTACTGGGATGCTCCTTTCTTATAAACCATCCTGATTAGAGAATAACACTAATAAAACAGGGCTGATCATAGAACTTCTGCCCTAATCTCTGTGGAATATCAAGCAATTGACAGCAAAAGGAGACATTTCCTCCCAGCCATCTGATCAAATGCTGCAGAGATTCCTGGATTCTTGAATATTCCTAAATGTCCACAAACCAAACATCTTCCATACTGTGAAACATCATCATTATTTTAAAGGTATCAAAATTACTTTGACCTTGAGGAAAAAATTAATAGCTTGCGGAAAAATAGAAACTTTTGTACATGGGTGGTAAGAATATAAACTGACCTAATTTTTTGTAGAAAAAACTGTCAATATCTATAAATGTTTTCTATTTTCAAATAGTCCCAGTAATTCCACTTCTAGCAATCTATCCTATGAAATACTTACAAAAATGCATGAAGGCATTATTTGTAATAGCAAAAAAACCAGTGTAACTGCCCTTCAATAGAGACAAAGTAAGTAACTGGTGGCACCTGTCCTAAGGAATACTAAATAGCTATTAAATAGAATGAAGTACAATTTATATGTCTTGACATGGAAAAAGTCAATTGCCAAAAATACATTGTAGCCTAACATGTATCACATGATTCTACATTAGCAAAAAATGAAAAACTACAAAAATCCTATGTGTACCTTCTGTATATATTTGTACATGTACACAGAAAAGTCTGCAAGGCTTGAAAACCAACTATTAACAGTGGTTACTTCTAGAGGGTGAGTATTATGGGGAAGAGAAAAAGACATTCCATTTACTTTATATTATACACTTAAGTGTTGACTTTTATGAGCATGACCACATTTTAGTTTTTCAAAGAAAGGAAAAAAACCTTTTAAAGGCCTCTTACCTTCAGTCAGCTGTTCCAATGATCCTCTAGAAAGAAGACTTGAGAAAGATTCTACGACTGTGCATTTTTTCCTGTATCTGCAGAGAATAAGTAGAAGGGGAGATGGGAAGTAGAAAGAAAAAAATGACAATAATCAAGCTCATTTTCATTTGACATTCATTTCAGTCACAATCACACCAAAGAGTCACCAAAACAGAACTCTAACCCTAAAATCTCTGGGGCAGAGACCACCCTTTTGAACCCTGCACACCCAGCTCCCAGCACTGGCATCCTGTGGGCATTTAACCCAAGCTTACTGAACAAGTGCATGGACAAACATACACGTAACAGTCAATACTAACCCTGTCATGCACCTTCCCTGATCTCTATGGCTAAAATCAGTATTTCTGTTGTTAAGGGTCACCTCGTCACGGGTTAAGAATGGAGTTAGAGTGCAGTGTTTGGAAACTCTCTTCCCTTGAGGGGCTGGAAACATAATTACAAGAGGACATAATTTCAGCAATGTTAAAATTCACCAATGCTAGTTAACAGCTTTTGCTAGGAGCTTCCTATACACACAAAGATTAAAATAAAACTGAAATTCCATGTCATTTACACCAAGCAAAAGTGTTTAAATATGTCTATTTAGACAAATAAAAGACTCCCTTCTGACTTCGCAGCATTTCCCACGTAAGAGAAGAATGCTCCTTGCTTGGCCTGGCTTGGCATGTGGTACCTAAACGCTCCACCAGGGGGACCCCGAGAGATGCTTGCTGCTAATCCCACTGAAATCCTCAGCCCTTCTCGGTAGTTCAAGTACCAACGAGAAAAGTGGAAGATACAGATGCCACGTGTTCCGCCATCCCAGCATCCTACTATAATTCTTTAGTGGAAATATTTTTATCTCCCGTACATAAAACTACATGAGACCAGGAACCTGTGATGCTCAAGTCCTTTTCTATAACCGTGGCCAACTTCCAACAGAGCTCTCTGTCAGGCTAAGTGCATCCATTTTGTCACACAGACAGAAAGGCTTGTAGGCGTGTCTCAAGTATTTAATTACTCAGCTCATACTTTTGGCAAGTTTGTAAGGCGTCCTTCATGGCAGAAATGCCATTTTGGATGTCCTGTTGCTCGAAGGTCATGACGGCCTGCAGCACCACAATGGTACTGTAGCCCAAGGCATGGTACATGCTGTCCTTAGCCCTGGGGAGAACACGGAAATTACTACATTTCAATTCAACTGAAAAGCATTCAGGTCTCATCTGAAACTAATCACAAGAAATTCTAGTAAACCCATGACGTGACTTTCACAGTAACGACTTTTACTCCTTCACTATGATCACTAAAATAATATGGACTATGAAAGACATGCCCTAAAGAACTCAAACCCTGAGGACTTTCCAATTCAAGCCCACGCAGGCAGCACAAAACTTTCCAGGTTGAAGCAGAGTGCGGCATATGCTGTTCCCTGTTTGAGCACAAGGGGGCAGCCTGCTGACTCATTTCCTAGAAAATGTTTCAAAGCAAACCCAATTTTTCCCAGTTGTACAAGAAGCAGTGTACCGTCTTTTGCTCTGAAATAAGTGCTAACATAAAGGCCACTGGAAACATAGTTTGTGACAGAGAAATTCTGATATGGTTTTTGAAAGGTAAGTCTTGTTTAAAATCATCCCCTCCCTTCTCCCAGCCAGAGGCCACGAGGAAGCAAGACTTTTGCAATAAGTTAGGTCAGCCACAAAGGGCCCAGACAAAAATTCATGGTAGATCTCTTACCGAATCTAATCCCATTATCTGGGAATCCTGATTAAAGTTCTGGATAATTCAAATTATCAAGTTATGCGTTCGATTCTTAAGGACATTCAGTCTGAATGGATGGCACATCCCAGACTCTCAGGCTATGAAAACCTCACCATCTCTTTCCTCAAAACTTCTTAAGCTATGTTAATTAGTTATTCATAAGATCTACAATATTAATGCATGGTTTTATTTTTTAATTCAAATACATTTTTAAAATACTTTTTTTTTTTTTTTTTGCTGCTCTGCAAAACAAATACAAGCCACAGTATACTTCCCCCCAAGAAACAGTCTAAACAACATTTGGTAATTTGCAGTTAGTCCCAAACAGTGAGGGCACTGGCTATTCAAAAAAAGAAAAAAGAAAGAAAAAAAAAGGAATAAGAGGAGCCCAAAGTGAATCAGCAATTGTGGTTTTAAACCTCACATTTAAAAAAAAAAATTTTTTATTGAAGTGTAGTTGATTTACAATGTTATATAAACCCCACATTTTAAACCAAAAGCTTCTCCAAGGGGAAAAAAAAGTATTCAAGTGGGGAAAACGTATGTTTAACAGTGAAACATGCATAAAGATCAGAGAATATAAAACTTGACTAAGTGTAAGACTGTCATTTATTTTCATTCCATATTATGACCAGCTGGGTGTCACTGAAGGAGAAAAAATGGAGACTTTTTGAATAAAAAACAAAGGAGACAGGCAGGCAGATTGAGAGAGGAGAGACAAGGAGAGAACAACAGGCAGAGAGAGAAAGAGAGGGAGGGAGAGAGGAAGACAGAGGGATATAGAGACAGAAGATGAAGAGACAGACAGACAGACAGAGAGGTCTGAAGGACTAAGAAGGACAGAAGGAAAAAGGCAGATACAGGCAAGGTAGAGCAGCGGTCCCTAACCTTTTTGGCACCAGGGACCAGTTTCGCGGAAGACAATTTTTCCACGAACAAAAGGGGTTGGGGTGGAGGGGTTTCTGGATGATTCAAGCACATGGATTTATTATGGTCTCTGTGCAGTCAAACCTCTCTGCTAATGACAATCTGTATTTGCAGCCGCTCCCCAGTGCTAGCATCACCCCTGAGCTCTACCTCAGATCATGAGGCATTAGATTCTCAGAAGGAGCACGCAACCTAGACCCCTCACATGCGCAGTTCACAGCAGTGTTCGCGCTCCTATGAGAATCTAATGCCACCACTGACCTGACAGGAAGCAGAGCTCAGGCGGTAATGCGAGCAATGGGGAGCGGCTGTAAATGCAGATGAAGCTTCACTTTCTCACCCGCCACTCACCTCCTGCTGTGCGGCCCAGTTCCTAACACGCCAAGGACCAGTACCTGTCTGTGGCCCGGGAGTTGGGAACCCCTGAGGTAGAGGATGTGAGACAAGCATTGGGTGGAGACAGCCCTGGGCAATTTCCGTAGGCCGGGGACTTCACCATCTATTTTATCATCTGTTCTTAGCCTCTGAAATGCTAACTGATCGCAGCTCTTCTAAGTCTGAGAATTACCACAGCCTCAGTAGGCACATTAATTTCTAAGATTCAAAGGCAATGACCAGAGTCACATCACCCTGCTCACCCTACAGACTCCTCAAAGGAATGAGAGTCCCACTCTGTGCCCACATAACTGTCTTGAAATTATTATCTGAGGTCTAAGCTTCATCCAAGTAAGACACTGTGTTTGGAGGCACAAGGTAAGATTATTCCTGCCGAGCTCTAGTCACACTGTACAGGTGGACACTGGAGTCAAAGTGAGGCCTAGTAAGAAGGCTAAGCATAGGTTTTGCTGCCACATAATCAGAATTAACAGGTACTATTAATTGAAATGAAACTGCCTAAGTGATTTATCACATAAATAGGGAGTCCCAGTAAGATTTTTATTATCTTAAATTTCTTTTTAGCATCTGAGATTACCATATTTTAGTTCTTCCCACACCCATTTCTTTTTTTTTTTTAATTTATTTATCTTATTTATTTATTTTTGGCTGCATTGGGTCTTCGTTGCTGGGCACGGGCTTTTCTCTAGTTGTGGTTAAGCAGGGGCTACTCCTTGTTGTGGTGTGCATGCCTCTCATGGTAGTGGCTTCTCTTGTTGCAGAGCACAGGCTCTAGACGCACAGACTCAGTAGTTGTGGCTCCCGGGCTCTAGAGCGCAGGCTCAGGAGTGGCTCACAGGCTTATTTGCTCCGCGGCATGTGGGATCTTCCCAGACAAGGGATCAAACCCGTGTCCCCTACATTGGCAGGTGGATTCTTAACCACTGCACCACCAGGGACGTCCACCCATGCCCATTTCAAAAGAAACTTTTCTCAATGATATTTAAGTTTCAGAGGAATATCCATAAAAATATTTCACTGAAGAAAGCCAAATGAAGCTCTCTGAAACTAATAAGATGACACTATTTGAACAAGTATAGAAATTAAGATAGGAGAAAGAATCAGAAATGCTCTACTAATTAAAGTTGAAAAGACAGATTTCTTAACTGGATATTAAAACTAATCAACATTTAGGGGTCTCAAACAAATTAGTTTATAAATATTCAGGAGGAAGTGCAGAAAAATTAACTGACAAGAATGACATCAGAGACAGAATCATCAAAAGCATCCAAAAAAATATATTTTATCTAAAAGAAATAAAGTTAATTACCATGGTCGAAGCAATTCTAAGGCATCTGTAAATTTGTTACTTAGAAATAAGTTCAGGGCCATTGCACATTCTTCCAGGCCACTCCTGAGATCCACCTTGGTTGACAGTGACCTAAAGATCAAGAAAAAAATACACAGAATTTCTACAGTTTTTACTTTTAGCAAGTTGTCACAGGGAGTGTGTGTGTGCGCGCGCGTGCGCGCGCACGTGTACACTTTGGAGACAGAAGGACAGGCTGGAATTCTAACTCTGTCACTTACTAGCTGTGTCTCTAACCTCTGGGAACTTGACTTTCTCATCTGTAAAATGGGAACACCACCAACTACTTCATGGGGCTGTTTTGAAGATGGAACAAATTGACAAATAATGCTCATAGCAGGCACTTAGTAAATGACAGTCCCCCCTTCACTCCAAAGATCACAAGTGCAGGAACTACATCTATTCATGAGTGGGAGCAGAGGTTATTTTGTTTTAGTTTGATTATGTAGGGGTAAGAATGTATGTCAGTGGAAAACTGCATTGTCTAAAATCTAAAGAAGACCCTGCCAGGTTGTTTGTTTTTGATTCCACAGGAATTATCTTACAGCTCTGTAAATTATACGTAACTGATATCAATACAAAATAACTGTTATCTATAGACACGTGTTAAAAAAGAGACAACAGGCCCAGTCATCAAAAAAATCTACAAACAATAAAAAATGCTGGAGAGGGTGTGGAGAAAAGGGAACCCTCTTGCACTGTTGGTGGGAATGTAAATTGATACAGCCACTATGGAGAACAGTATGGAGGTTCCTTAAAAAACTAAAAATAGAACTACCATATGACCCAGCAATCCCACTACTGGGCATATACCCTGAGAAAACTATAATTCAAAAAGAGTCATGTACCAAAATGTTCATTGCAGCTCTATTTACAATAGCCAGGAAAGCAACCTAAGTGTCCATCGACAGATGAATGGATAAAGAAGATGTGGCACATATATACAATGGAATATTACTCAGCCATAAAAAGAAACAAAATTGAGTTATTTGTAGTGAGGCGGATGGACCTAGAGTCTGTCATACAGAGTGAAGTAAGTCAGAAAGAAAAAAAAAAAAAAAAAAAAAAA